AAGAATGAGTAAAAGATAAGTCGCAGCAAGACTGAGAAAATGCAAGTAATAAACATAAACGAGACTGCTAGAGAACAGATTCTAAATATTTGTACAAGACCATGAACCTCATTGCTATCTTCCCCACCTTTCCTCTGAGATCAAAGAGCTTTCCCCAACCTTTTCTTTTACAGAACATCCAATATTCCTAAGCATCCTTTAACAAAGGCACAAAACAAAACAAAACAAAGCCAACAGTTAAATGCAACTCAATGCGTCGATCTCATTTTTCACTTCTAAGCTCAAATTTCTGTTGGAGAAGAATCCACTACAAGAATAGAAACTATTGCTTTAGATTTTTTCCCCTCGAAACAAACAAAACCAAACAAATAACAAGAAAAACTTCACATCACATTTACCACACTTCCAGGTCAGTTGTTCAGGCTATAGGGAAGGTCTAATTATAGCTCAGTGAAAAGAAGCCATACAAAACTCCTAGAGAATTCTGCCGTTTCAGTATCCATGTCTTCCGTAAGGTCCAGACACTACCATTGTGTAAGATTTAAAGTATCTCTTTCCGCAGTAGAAGTTTGAGGTCTGCATACTGCCTGTTCCTGCACAATTTGATTATCTGAAAAACTGTATCATCAGAAAATATTCACCTGCAAAATGAAACCAGTGTTTCAATGCAAAAAGGGGTGAAAATGTATTTATGGACTTAACTCCTCCCCTTAAAAAAAAAAAAAGCTGAGCACTCTCCTTCTCTCCTTTGTGCAATGCTATACCCAACAAACAAGGAAAGATAGTGGGCTGAAGAGTTACTTTTTGCTACACTGACTGCACTACACTGAGCACGCAACACAAAAAATAATATAAAGAAAGGCTGAAAGAGCGCATGCATGATTAAGAAATTAACTCCTTGGAAGCACCTATGGAGGTGTGTTTTGATTTTATCATTAACATTGAACTGTTCTTCCCCCTCCTTTCCCTGCTCACTTAAATGTATTAAAATTTTAGAAAAGCAAATTTAACATGTATCAGGAGATTTCTGCCAGTGGTATTTTTCATCTAAAATAAATCAAACTGTAGGTGGGCAAAGCATTGGTAACCTATGCCTTTAGCTATACTAAAAGTCTATCCTGAATTACAGCCTACGTAGTTCAGATAGGTTTAAAACCTATGTCAGTCACTGAAAGGAAGCAAGCTAGCACTTTTAACCATGACAGAAAAGAAGGTTCTTCAAGATTTATCAGCAGCATTAATTCTACAGAATTCATAGTGCACAAGCAGTGCTCTACTTATTCCTATAGCTGTTCTCAACCACTGCACTGCCATCCTCTTCTTACGTAATATTGATAGAATAGCTTTCTTGTACAGAACTGACCAAAATTATCTGCAAACAGACAAACAAATCAGAAGAGCCAGAAAGTAAACTTTGAACAAAAATTAGAACACTGAAATGCTTGTAACTACAGGAGCTGTCCAAGTACAGTATTTGAAACTGCTAAACTTGGTTACTGTATCAACAAAAATCTGAAGTATATGTAAACATTTGGTGTAAGAGAGCAAATTCCTAAGTGCTCACTCAGCAACCTCTATTACATATATCGCACAGAATATGATAATTCCTTCAAAGAGGTTACTTGCAGCATTTTAAACAACTAGTCCTATTAGGAAGGTAAGTGCAACTTACCTGAGAGAAGGAAATGCCAGGTAAATTCAGCTTATGCCCTAACTCCCAGGTCTCTGGGAATTGCCATACCCTTATTCCCATGATCTTTCTTCATTTTAGGAAAATTTTCTTTCCTGGTTTTACATGCTTCATGAATTTAAGATAAAGAATTTCTATTGAACACTAGAAGGAAACAAAGACCGTTCAAAGAGTTCTTCATGAAAGTCTTAACTGCAGCTGAGAAAAGCAATTAGGCTCCTAGCCAGACTAACCTATGTTACAGGGATTCAGAGCCAGCTCTTTGGTCTGAGTTAGTAAGAGTCATGTCTTGAGAACCAGGTGAGTAGCCTGACTGTCAGGTTACAAACTGTTTCAAGAATGGATCTATGCTTCCCAGTTGCTGTTTCGTTGTTGTTTGTTTGTTTTGTTTTGTTTGGACCAGAAATTCCTTCCAGGGGCTGAAAAGACCTTTGCAGTGAGACTTCCACAACTTTTACATCCCGTTTAAATGCTACTGTTGAAACAAATTAAAAGAGAGAGTAACCTTTTCTGATTAATACCATTCCCTGTAAAATCCTCTGTCCAACTCTAATCTCGAGATAGTTTAACAGATAAAAGGGAAAATGCTGCCTTTATATCAGGATTTAGGTCCTTTGTTCCCAAGTGATCTCAGACTAAGTGCAGGTAAAATGTTTTGCTCTGATATCCATTTCTTGACAGTGCTAGTCTGAGAAGTGGGCATAAGACCTTTTGTTTCAGGAAAGTAGAGAGATTAATTTGTTTAGATCTTGAAAGAAATTATGACTAAGGCATTCCAGCTTGTTTGTTTGTATTAACAATAGTTAACCAACTCCCTGCGTGACTCAGTTTCATTATTACATGTGAACTGACAATTACGTTAATAGATAAGAAGTCAGTGAACGAGATTCAAAAGAAACATTTCAGTGTCTGTGAAATTATTACCAAATATTTAAAATGCCATGAGCTAGCACTGCTGTCCAGTGTAGCGGTTTTATTCCTTACTCCCACAGCCCTGAACTGCTTTCTCTCTACTCCCGCACCATAGCCTCCCTGTGCTACAGCAAGCATTCGTGTGATTGCACAGGGAAACGATCAAGATTAAAACTGACCCAGCAGAAGAAAAATAGTTTTAACCCAGAACAGTTCCCACTTTAGTTCATTAGTGTCTAATCAAATGAACAGTTGTGCCAGTTAATAGCCAGAGGCATCTCCACTTCTTTAGGATGGTGGATTGCAATGACAGTAAAACAGCTGAGAATTTCCCATTTTATTACTCTGAAAACATTTCACAGGTATTTTCAAGTCACAGATTGTGCCAATCACTACGGCACTTTTATAGACCTTTGTCAAGAAAAGCCCTAGAACAGAAATAGGTCAGAAATTAATGTATTTACAAATACTAAATGCTCAGTGTGGTCCTTACACCTCTCATTAAAATTATACGGTTAGAGACATCAGATATTCACGTTACTAAATAGTAAATACTACAGATGTAATGACATTTTTCCTTTACTTCAATAGCAGCTTCCTTCCAAGTATCAGTGAATGCGTCTCGAATCCAATCTCTATCCAAAAAAATGCAACCTACATTTTTTGTTTAGATCACTTGCCTCCGAACTTCTTGGCCCAAAGATCCACTGTCAAACCTGGCTGACCAACTTTTACATTTAGGTCCTGTAACCGTTATTTTTAACATGAGTTTGTCAATTCCGAGCAGAATACTTTCTCCGGCGTGATATACTGCTGTTGGAGAACCACTGACAGGGTTCAGATTTCCATTGTGCAGACCCCTAGCACTGGTTACAGTGGAAGCACGATTGACAGTGGATGCGTCTTAGTTACCATCCACCAACTCCCTCAGAAGTCAATCAGCCCCTGTGAAGCGCAGCCTGAAAATCAATGACCTAGGTTCTCAGCCAAGTACTACCCTCTTCCTTTGGATCTTGACCCTAAGCATATTTTCTAAGTATGATTTTTTACTCTCAGGAAAACGTTATCGAGTACTATGCTCTTATAACTAACAGCAGGCAAACGATAAGGTGGAATCAGAACGCATGGGAAGCCAAGGTGAGAAGAAGCATAGGGAAGAAGTAGTTATCTGGACACATCCTTATTTATGTTTAGTGGTATCGCAGGAAGACTGATATCTTGAGGCTGCTCAGTCCATATGGGTTCAGTTCATCACCTCTCCCCTGAATGCCTCATCCCACAGGCAGCTCGGTGAAATCTGACACCTTGAGGAGAGGCTCCACTGAGCACAAGCCCTGCCAGTTTCAGCTTAGTTCAGAACATCACTTGAAAGCCATTTTAATGCAGCTGTTTGGCAGCAAGCTTTCCTGTTTCTTTTTTTATCCCCCTTTTCCTCTCCAAGAACCGGGCATCTAGGATTCGACATTTTAACGTTATCGGTAAACGCAGCGAAAACGCAATAATTAAAATATCACATTTTCATCACCACCATGGACTGAAACCTCAACCCGGTAAACTATTCCGAGAGATGAGGACGTGTACGCTTTATTGCGGTAACTGCGGGAAAAGCACGAATATTCTCAAGCC